TTGTACATCGTTAATTTTTGATGTAGAGCCGCCAAAAGATGGCGCATAATCCCGAAAGGTGTGTCAGATCTTTATTTCTTTGTCTTGCTTTTGCATAATTGCTAGCAAGACACTGGGGAAGAGCTGTTTGGCAAAATAAGAAGCCATTTCATAACGTTGTTTATTAAAACGCAGCTGCACGACTTGGCTTTTTAGAGAAGAATTGATGGGGGGCAACCACGATAAGCTTTTCTGTATCCCGACTCTTCTGTCATTTGCCAAAGGCGACTGACAACAGAATTTCTGAGGATCGGTTGTTAATATTTGGGCTGCTTCTCCATTGCAAATAGCTTTTCATGCTGAGAATGGTTAGATCTGCACCTTTGCTTTAAATGAAAACATAACTGAGTGCCAGGAAAACAAATTGGTTTTCCCAGTTTGGTTTGTTTGCTTGCTTTCTTGGCAAATTGGGGTTTTTTTATACCGGTTTTTACTTTAGCTACAAGTCTGCTTACAGTTAAACCATATATTGGTAAAACAGTGGGATTTTTTTTTCCCGTTTAGCAACGTCAGTTTATGTTCTGTGCTAATTTATTCAGCTACAAATTAGAAATCGGCAAAGATGCCACCAACTTGCTAATATTCTGTATTCTCCAGGCCTAATTCAGTTACAAAGCTAAGCTAAATTACCACAATTCTGCCTTATTTAGAACCAGTGAATTAAATTGCATTTGTTTGATCTCTTCTGCTAAAGCATATAAGGAACGGCTGCTGGAATNCTTCCTGACAGTGAGAACAATTAACCAGTGGAACAACCTGCCTCCAGAAGCGGTGAATGCTCCAACACTGGAAGTTTTTAAGAAGAGACTGGACAGCCATTTGTCCGAAATGGTATAGGGTTTCCTGCCTGAGCAGGGGGTTGGACTAGATGACCTTCAAGGTCCCTTCCAACTTTACTATTATTATTATTATTATAATTCAGTTCTCAGCCACGGCACTTTAAAGATGTATGGACTTCAACTTTCAGGATTCCCCAACCATGGTGGCTGGGGAATTCTGGGAGTTGAAGTCCACATTTTCAAAAAGAGGCTAGACAGTTACTTGTCTGAGATAGTATAGGTCAGTGATGGCGAACCTTTTAGAGACTGAGTGCCCAAACTGCAACCCAAAACCCACTTATGCATCATCGAGTGCCGGGTGGGTGTGGCCCATTGGCTGGGTGTGGCCAATTGGGTGGGCGTGGCCAATTGGATGGACATGGCTGCAGTGGTAACGGCAGACTGGGTGGGACTAAAAAGTTCAATCAATCAATTCCAACTTTGCAAGAACTTTTTTTTCCCCACGAGAAGTTGAAATTGACTGATTGAAACTTTTATTTTTTTTTGCACATGGCAGCGGAGGCCTAAAGTGAAAAAGTTTTATAAAACCCAGCTGAAGGCCTAGGACTGGGGTGACGGCGCGTGTGCCCACAGAGAGGGCTCTGAGTGCCGCCTCTGGCACCCGTGTCATAGGTTCGCCACCACTGGTATAGGTTCTCCTGCTTGAGCAGGGGGATGGACTAGAAGACCTCCAAGGTCCCTTCCAGCTCTATTCTATTCATTCATTCATATCTTTAAAGTTGTCAGAGTTGAGAAACACCATGTTAATGGATATAGGCAAAGAAAGCAGGGAGACTCACTAGTATTATATCTGAATGGCTTACAATGTTGGCTTATTAAGGCAGGAACAAGCCAAGATAGAACTGTAATATTACGCCTACCAGGGGGGAAATGCTTTCCTGTTTGTTTTTTTTAACAGAGGAGCAATATTTCAGGATATTTCTTTTATTTCTTAAGAAAATAGAAACTTGTTCATTGAGAACATTTCTATCCAATTTAAAAAAAAAGTATTTACTGATGTCACAAAACTCCAGTTATTTCTCAATCTTGGCAACTTTAAAATGTATGGATATTAACTCTCAGAATTCCCCAACCAGTGTGAACTTTGAACTCCCAGAATTCCCCACCCAGCATTGCTGGCTGGGGAATTCTGGGAGTTGAAGTCCCCACATCTTAAAGTTGCCAAGATTGAGAATCACTGCTCTGTTCTTTTTTAACAGAGATAGATAGTTACATTAAAAAAAATATCTGATATTCTTGAAGAGGTTAGATCTTATTTTGAAATCTGTCCTTTTTGAAGAGGTTAGACATTATTATGTTTTGCGTAGCCCAATAATCTACCCCTGCCTTGCCATCTGCGTTCTTCTCTCATGATCTGTGCCTTTAAGCCAAGCAGGCATTGATTTGCCACCTTCCCTGGCATCGCCAACGAGCTGCAAGCCGGCTATTAATAGCCAAGTGACTGTGCTTTGCGACTCCATTTTCTGATGCAAGGCTGTGGATTCTTTTCCACTTGATTGCATGTATAGGAAATGGAGGCCGGCTTTAATAAGACTATCAAAGGAAGAACTGAAAAAAGGGGGGAAACATAGAGAAAAGGAAGGAAGGAAGGAAGGAAAGAAAGAAAGAAAGAAAGAAAGAAAGAAAGAGAAAGAAAGAAAGAAAGAAAGAAAGAAAGATGCAATAAATTAGAGGCTTGTTTTTAAAGAACAGATGGAGTGTTAGTTTAAATGCTCTGTCTCGCTCTCTCTCTCTGGCTTTGAAAAGGCTTAATCATATGCCTGCTGCTTCTGTGCAGTGAAATAAAGATTTTTTTTTTCCAGTTTGTCAAACAGAGCTGGCACTGTACGAAGCTAGAAAATACAGCCTCTCACTTGTCTCCATCCCTGGGCATAGCCAATTGATAAGCGGGTAAGGGTGGGACTATCAAAGGCTTCTCGTGATACAGCAAAATCTAGCATGCTCAATTTTCAGGGAGAAAAACACCAGTTTATTGTTAGTGGTTGTTTTTTTTTTATTTAATCTCGTGCAATTTAGCTGAGTTCGGGCAGGGCCTCTGAAATAATCTGATTGTCCATGAAGCAGAAATTTATCTTCAGATCTTTTTATTTCTTCTTCAGATGAAACTGCTTCTAAATAATAGATTCCCCCCTCCCTGATGCATACTGTATACAAATAGTCTGCTGGATTTAAAAGAGAGAATTGTTGTTAGCAGTGTTGTATATTAATAATGTTCTTGATTATGTAGGCTTGTTTAGAAAAGATTGATGTTAAGATACTCTTAACGTAGTTTAAGCTGAGATATTATGTCACCCCTAGTCCTTCTCTTCATTAGACTAGACCAGGGTAGGCAAACTTGGCTCTTTTATGACTCGTGGACTTCAACTCCCAGAATTCCCGAGCCAGCATGGCTCAGCTTGGAAACCTCTCCCTTTCCCCTCAGCATCGCTGGTTCAGGAATTCTGGGAGTTGAAGTCCACAAGTCATAAAAGAGCCAATGTTGCCTACCCCTGGACTAGACATACCCAATTCCAGCAACCATACTTTATATCAGGGGTCTTCAAACTTGGGCCTTTTATGACTTGTGGACTTCAACTCCCAGAATTCCTCAGCCAGCATGCCAGTTTGAAGACTCCTGTTTTATATGATTTGAAGACTCCTGTTTTATATGATTTAGAGTCCCCTAGAGAGAGAATAAATCTTGCCACTGAGATGATTATAGGTAGTTCTCGACTTATGACTACAATTGGGACCAGAATCTCCATTGCTAAGCAAGGTGGTTGTTAACTGAGTTGCACGCCATTTTACCACCTTTTTTGCATCGGTTCTTAAGCAAACTGCTGCAGTTACTAAGTGAATTCGGCTTCTCCCGTTAACTTTACTTCTTGGAAGCTGGCTGGGAAAGTCGCAAGTGGCAGTCACGTGACCCTGGGATGCTACATCCAGTAGTAGGATTCAAATATGTGAACAACCGGTTCTCTGTGTGGATGCCGCTTCCGGAAGTCCGTTCTGGGCCTGGGCAACAAAAAATTAGCTACCGGTTCTACCGAAGTGGTGCGAACCGGCTGAATCCCACCACCGGCTACATCCATCATAAATACATGTCAGTTGGTGTGGAGTTTGATCACATGACGCGGTAGAGGCTAAAACGGTGGTAAATGTGGAAAGTGGCTGTCTTCCCCCCCCCCCAGTGTCATTGTCACTAAACAAATGGTTATAAGCCGAGGACTACCTGTATATTCAAGAATTTTCATTTTACAGGAAAGTTTCTTTGGCGAACCAGCAGCAGAATTCATGGTCTAGACCAGGGGTAGGCAACCTTGGCTCTTTTATGACCCGTGGACTTCAACTCCCAGAATTCCTGAGCCAGCCATGCTGAGGGGAAAGGGAGAGGTTTCCAAGCTGAGCCATGCTGGCTCAGGAATTCTGGGAGTTGAAGTCCACGAGTCATAAAAGAGCCAAGGTTGCCTACCCCTGGTTTAGACACAGATATCTATGGAGATTCTCAATCATCCAGGTCATAATTATCCCAAAGGTGCTTTTTCATGAGGCAACTCTGGACTTCCTTGTTTTTCTTTGAAGACACTTCTCATCCCAAAAGCTTCTTCAGCTCGGACTGGATGGTGGGGAATGGAAGGATTTATACTCCTTGTAGACAGCTGGTCATTTGCATTCTTTTAGAGGGTTGTTGATGACACTTGGAGGTTTACCTGTGTCCTCAGGATCACGCAAATGGGTGTGGAGCCTTCTTAGCTGCAAGATGTCTTCTGCCCGGGGTCCTTTCACATCCTGCAGCCAAGAAGGCTCCACACACTTTGCACCCCTCAGGTGACCCTGAGGACATAGGTAAACCTCCAAGTAGCCTCAACGACTCTCTAAAAGGAGGCAAATGACCGGCTGTCTGCAAGGAGTATAAGTCCTTCCATTCCCCATCATCCAGTCAGAACTGAAGAAGCTTCTTGGATGAGAAGCGAAACGTCTTCAAAGAAAAAACAAGAAAGTCCAGTTGCCTTCTGAAAAAGCACCTTTGGGATTCAAAGACAGATGCACCTTTCTCCTCTGATGCTTCTCAGAATTTTCCCTTCATCTCTTACCTGTATTCAACATGGTGTGTGTGTGTGTTTTCTTTTTCCTACCTGCCAGATGGGAAAGGGCTCCTTCAAGTACGCTTGGGTGCTGGACAAACTGAAAGCTGAACGCGAGCGAGGCATCACCATTGACATTTCCCTGTGGAAGTTTGAGACCACCAAGTATTACATCACCATCATCGACGCTCCAGGCCATCGAGATTTCATCAAGAACATGATCACGGGGACTTCACAGGTAAGAAAGGGGGGAGGGGGGGAAGCCAGCCAGCAGCAGGCGGCTTATCTGGGTGGGTTCAGTTCCCGAACTCCGCTTTTCCCAGTCTGGCATTGTCCAATTGCCTGAGCCCCGGGGTAATTTTGGAAGCTGGAGGGCCCTGGATTAGAGAAAGGGGCAACAGGATCCTGGATTTGAGGGAGTGCAACGACATTAGACTACTAATTGAAAAAGGACATCTCTTACTTCTGCCTCCACTGATAATGAAGGGTCCTTGGTGCTCTCTGAGCTTAGTTGCTTTCTTGCAGAGATCTCATTACCCAACTAAGTAACATCATCAATCCTAGAAGAGGGGTGGGTTTGGGGGGGCAGGAGGAGAAGAAGGAGGAGCACTGTGGAGTCCTGCGTGCTCTCCGAACTGGGTTGTTTTCTTGCAGATTTTCATTACCCAACTAGGTAACATCATCAGTGTTAGAAGGGAGTGAAGGATATGAGGAGGAGGAGGAGGAGGAGGAGGACTATTGGGTCCATGGTGCTCTCCGAACTGGGTTGTTTTCTTGCAGATGTTTCATTACCCAACTAGGTAACATCATCAGTGTTAGAAGGGAGTGAGGGATATGAGGAGGAGGAGGAGGAGGAGGAGGAGGAGGAGGAGGAGGAGGAGGAGAAGAAGATGATGATAGTGGGGTCCTTGGTGATCTCCAAGCTGGGTTGTTTTCTTGTAGATGTTTCATTACCCAAGCTTGGCAACATCACCAGTGCTAGTCTGCTAGCACTGAAAATTCTGCTTTATAGTCTTGATTGGCAGCTATCCAGAGCCATGGATTTCTCAGCTGCACAAGGCCTTAAAGGGCCAGTGACATTCATCTCTCAGCTTGATCCTATACTGGGGACAGAGCAAGAGGCAAAGATCTCTGGCAGGGTTTTCTTCCAAGATGCACTTGCCTCAGTTCCTTCTCACTTGCACGATGTCAAGATTTCTATGTGTTTCACAATACATGGAGGGAATCCTTCTAGAAGCTGCTGTTTGTCCTGGGGTTAACAAGAGCCCTTGTCTGGTTAACAGAATAACAAGATGGAAGGGACCTTGGAGATCTTCTAGTCCAGAGGTAGGCAACCTTGGCTCTTTTATGACTCGTGGACTTCAACTCCCAGAATTCCTGAGCCAGCATGGCTCAGCTTGGAAACCTCTCCCTTTCCCCTCAGCGTGGCTGGCTCAGGAATTCTGGGAGTTGAAGTCCACGAGTCATAAAAGAGCCAAGGTTGCCTACCTCTGTTCTAGTCCAACCCTCTGCTCAAGCAGGAGACCCTATACCAGGGGTGTCAAACTCAATTTCACTGAGGGCCGCATCAGCATTGCGGTTGCCCTCGGGGGAGCGGGTGTGTGTGGTCAGGGTGGGTGTGGCCTACTGGGTGGGTGTGGATGGAGTGGGTGTGGTCTACTGGGTGGGCGTGGCCAGTTCTACGTCATTCGCTTCAAGGGTGCCCGTGGGGGCCTGGGCAGGAGTGGGTCAGATCTGAGGGTCTCTGGCAGAAGGGGGTGGGACCGGGGCAAGTGCCAAGGCATGGTCCACCGGGGCAAGTGCCAAGATGGCCACCACAAAATTATACATTGGCTCCCGGCCGGCCTGGGCCAGGGCCAAGGCAGCGGGGGCCGTTCCCTCACTGTTTCCAGGATGGCTTCGTGGGCCACATGAAACCACTTCGTGGGCCGCATCAGGCCCCCGGGCCTTGTGTTTGATATGTCTGCCCTATACCATTTCAAACAAATGGCTATCCAATCTCTTTTTAAAAGCCTCCAGTGATGGAGCACCCACAGCTTCTGGAGGCAAGTTGTTCCACTGCTTGTAGAGAAGCCACACTTGATTTGTGCAAGGCCCAGTCCTGCCTGCTACTCCCGGGTTGTATTGGCAACATGCAGACTTGATTTTCTGTACAAGTAGTCCTTGACTTCCAACTACAATGGAGCCCAAAATTTCTGTTGCTAAGCGAGACAGTTGTTAAGTGAGACTTTGGCCCATTTTACAACCTTTCTTGCCACAACAGTTGTTAAGTGAATCACAGTTGTTAAGTGAATCCAGCTACCCCTTAGAACAGGGGTCTTCAAACTTGGCCCTTTTATGACTTGTGGACTTCAACTCCCAGAATTCCTCAGTCAGCTTTGGGAGTTGAAGTCCACAAGTCATAAAAGGGCCAAGTTTGAAGACCCCTGCCTTAGAAGGTCGCAAAAGGTAGGATCCCGGGACAGTGCAACCATCATCAACACAAGCAAGTTGTCAAGCTGGGGGTCTGAATTTTGATCACATGACCGCGAGTACGCTGCATAAGTGTGAAAAAGGTTGTAAGTCCATTTTTCCCCCGGTTTCTTGTCACTTTGAACAGTTTACTAATGAACTGTTGTAAATCGAGGACGACCTGTATTAGGAATACAGCTTGCAAACTTGATTTTTTTTTTTTGTATCGTGGCAGACCCTGGAGCCCTTGGTAGAGGGCGAAACCCTTACGAATCCATTCAAAGCATGTCTAATTCCTTCCCTCCCCCAGGAATGTTTACTCCCATAGCTCGTCTCCTATTCATAGAATAAGGGGGACGAGTGGGGTTTTAGGTATCAATCCAGTATTTTTAGAATTCATTGAGTTCCCAGAGGAAGACCGGATTGGTTGAAAAGCACTTTGGGTGAACCCATTGAGAGAAAGCTCATGAAATGTCCATACTCGGCACCAAGTTTTTTCAAGGCATCAAGAATGTGTGTTGGCATCCTGTATAACCTCGACTTAAACAAAAGTTCATTTAATTGACTGTTCAAAGTTATAACAATAGTACTTAGACTTATATGTATACCGCCTCACAGTGCTTTACAGCAGGGGTCCCCAACCCCCGGTCTGTGGACCAGTACCGGGCTGCGGCATGCCAGCAACCGGTCCACACAAACAAGCAAAGCCCCATCTGTGGGATGCAGGCAGCACATAGAACCACGCACCCTCCGGTCCGCAGAAAAACCTCTCTCCACGGGACCGGTCCCTGGTGCCCAAAAGGTTGGGGACCTCTGCTTTACAGCCCTCTCTAAGCAATTTACAGAATCAGCCTATTGCTCCCAACAATTTGGGTCCTCATTTTACTGACCTCGGAAGGATGGAAGGCTGAGTCAACCTTGAGCCGGTCGGGATCGAACTGCTGACAGTGGAATGCAGAGTTAGCCTGCAATACTGCATTCTAATAGATAGATTGGAATAGATAGATAGATGATAGATAGATAGATAGATAGATAGATAGATAGATAGATAGATAGATAGATAGATAGATAGATAGCAATAAAGCTTAGACTTATATACCGCTTCACAGTTCTTTACAGCCCTCTCTAAGCAGTTTACAGCGTCAGCCTATTTGCCCCCAACAATCTGGGTCCTCATTTTACCGACCTTGGAAGGATGGAAGGCTGAGTCAACCTTGAGCCGGTCAGGATCGAACTGGTGGCAGTGGGCAGAGTCAGCCTGCAATACTGCATTCTAACCACTGTAACACCAGAGGCTCTGAAAAAAGCCACAGCACACTTAAGACTTTTGCAGCCTCTCCATGGTCATGTGATCAAAATTCAGATCCTTGGCAACATTATTCATATTTATGACGGTTGCCATGTCCCAGGGTCATGTGGTCACCTTTTGCGACAAGCAACATCAATGGAAAAAAACCAGATTCACGTAACAACCATGTTACTAACTTAAGAACTGCTGTGATTCTTTTAACAATTGTTTCAAGAAAAGTCGTAAAATGGGGTACGATTCACTTAATAAATGTCTCGCTTAACAACAGAAATTTTGGGCTCAATTGTGGTCATAGGTCGAGGACTACCTGTATATTTTTCCTATCGTTCTTGTGAAAAGTGTCGACATTATTTCTACTATATTTACATTCCTTCATGGACTGGAAATGAATGTAATATTTTCAAATATTCCTCAACAATGACGTTAAAATACTTAGAATGAATAAAAAAAAAAACAATGTTCCAATAGGACATGGATTGCCAATCTTCAAAGTTCAGGAGGTGAGTCTTATGGAATTGCTGATAGATAGAAGTGATGACTGCATTTCCAGTAGCTTATAAAAAAAAACTTTTGGTTAAACTTTGAGTCACTTAAAGTGAGATGGGTGGCAAAATAATCAAATGAATAAACTCTCTGGGACCATTGTTGCTCACTGATAATATTACCGTAATCACCTGATGTGCTAAAACATTGTTTATATTTGATTTGTGTATTTCTTATACAGGCTGGGAATAATAGTAGTATTTATTTATTTATTTATTTTATTTATTTATTTTCACTAACTTATATGCCGCCCTTCTCCCCACGGGACTCAGGGCGGCTCACAGCATGTTAAAACAACACAAAAACATTTCCCCTATAAAAGCCAATTAAAACCAAATATTTATAGCTGTGACATTATTAAAATCTTTAAAAACTTTCCCTATTTAAAATTCACCCTAGGTCAGTCCCGCTTGCTGAAAAAGCCATGTCTTGAGGGCGCGGCGGAAGGTTAGGAGATCCGGGATCGTCCGGATCTCGGGGGGTAGTTCGTTCCAGAGGGTGGGGGCACCCACAGAGAAGGCCCTCCCCCTGGGGGTCGCCAGCCGACATTGCTTGGCCGACGGCACCCTGAGG